CCCCAGCGACCCTAGTGAGGATTAAGCGGTGTATAGACAATGGATGGATGGATGTCTTTTTGTAGTGTATGTAAACTTCTGGTTTCAGCTGTATGTACAACAACCAACATGTGATGCAAAACATCTGCAAAAATGTGTAAAACAATCAAATGCTTTGCAAAATGATGTGAAACTAGAGAAGTGTGATGTAAAACAAACACAAAACCAAAGTAAAACCTCCAGAATGAAACTTCCTGTGGGGATGGCTTCAGTGTCACAGCAGTTGTGTTTCTCTGTTCGGCGTCTTGGTGGCAGTGTTGTGTCAGCAGAGACTGGACGAACAGGATGAAGCTGTAGTGAATATTACTGCTGTTATAAAAACCTTTAAAACAATATTAATGAAGTCGATGAAAGAAAAAACGGTATTTGATTTATAGAAATAAGGAACATGCTGCTCAGAACTGTGGAGAGCAGATCAATCTTTTTATCCATTTTGCATTATAGTGGCATTATTGGCAGTGATGGTGTCAGAAAACTATGTTATGGTTTAAACTGTAGTGTTAAAAATACTGTAAAAAAATAGAGGAAATATCTGTTAATATATAGATCTGATTTAAAACAGTCAAATATTGTTATTTTACCACTAAATATTGTAAATGACTAAATTACTTATATTACTAATGCAGATTTTTGTTTTTTGCTTCTCATTATTTACATGACTTAATATTTATTTCTGTGATTTTACTAGATATTATATTTAGAAAAAGAAAAAGAAAAGAAAATCTGTCACTATACTTGTATACTTGTACATACTTGTACAATTAACCTGCATCTGTGTTAAAAAACTAATTTAATTTTTAAAAACAACATTCATTTTGCTTTAGGTTTACGGTTTTTGTTTTTACAGTGCACATACTCCACATGACAAATAACATTTTGGATCTTAAATCATACTTTTTAAAAAAAATATTGCTGTTAATATTTTGGTTTTTAAAAAAAAGTAATTCTGAAAAATCTGTAAAATAAAAATATTCCTTCACAAAATCCATCAGAAGCTTTTGGTACATTTACTGTTTGTGCACTTTATTATTTCATTTATGAATTAGGATATTTTACTATAATTTTATGGCCATTTGACTTATTTAAATTGTAGTATACAATTTTTAAGACCATTTTTAAGTTCTGTCAGTTTATGAAACTGACAGAACATTTAATTGTAAGTTATACTGATTGTTTTTGCTCTTTATATGAATCAGGATATTTTACTTTAGGTTTTGTTTTTTGTTTTTTGTTTTTTTTCACAGCACACGTGTAATTAATAAATGTTTCCATCTTAAATCTTGTTTTTGGTTTTTCCAAAATCAGTGTTCTTCTTACATTATTGTTGATATATATATATTTTTTTAAATAATTGTATTATTTTTTTTTTAAAATCTGTAAAATAACTTTGCACAATCAATCACAAAAATGTTTGTAAATTTATTGCTGATGGTTTTTGTTATTTCATTTATGAATTACATTTTTTCCCCCCTGCAGTGCACATATTACATTTGACAATACTTTTTCATCTTAAATCTTGTTTTTTGTTTTGTTTTGTTTTTCTTTGTTTTGTTTTTTTTGCTTGTTTTTTGTCCGTAAATGTATCATTTTTGCATTTTATTTATGAATTATGGTATTTTCCTTGAATTGTAAGGTCATCTGACTTTTTTAAATTTTAGTTTACAGTGTTACGAACGTTTTAATGTCTGTCAGTTTAATAAATATATTCAATATTTTCCTGTAGGCTTGGAGTTTTTTGTTTTCTCATGTGATAAATAAACGGTTGTGTGGTGACTCTTGTTTTCTTTCTTGATAATCTGCGTTCTCCTCACACGATCTTGTTGATTTGTTGATCTGTTGTTGTTGTTGTTGTTCTCGGCTCCTCCTGCCGTGTCCTCTGCTGTTTGCCAACACGTGGGTTGTTTTTTTTTTCTTCTGGAAGCCACAAGAGCATCGCATCAAATCGCTGTTGCCATGACAACGGCTCCGTACCTTCTCCTCCTCCTCCTCCTCCTCCTCCTCTTCATCCCTGTGCTGCAGTGCATCACACCCTCCCTCCCTGCCTCCCCCCTCCTCTCCTCCTCTCCTCCGACACAGCAGCGTCCCTCACATCTGGACATTCACTCTCATCGCTGATTCTGTTGCTCTTCGTCTGATCGCGCCTCCAGGAGGATGATGATGCCACCGTGTGCGTCCTCCTGGTAAGAAGAAAAAGAAGAAGAGGAGGAAGCCGTACACCTCTAAACCGTCAACTGGACCACACGTTTTCGGTAGGATTTGGGTTCTGGAGGCGGGTTTCGGCAAAGGTTCGGCAGGAGGACAGACGGAGGATTCATGCGCCGGAATGCGCCGAGGAACAGCCTCCAAAGACGCACAGGAGGCGTGTGCAACCCCCGCTGAGCTCCGGATATGTAGCTGTGGATGTTTGGAAAGAAGGGAAGCAATAACACTGACTGACTGACTGATGAGACAATAACAAGACTGAGCTGTCATTTCTTCCAAAGTCAAAGAGACTCTGTTCCACTCTACTTCCAGCCCACTTTCTGCTCACAGGAAACTCGTGTGACTTGGTCTTACTGCACATCGTCCACACATCAGTCTTCCAGCAGCTGCACAGTGAGGAGGGTGCACCACCCTATATAAATAGTTGAACAAAGGCTCCTTTTGGAGGCCGAAACCTGAGAGCAGGACTGATTCCTCCCTCTGGTAACCCAACACTGCCAGACAGACAGACAGACAGAGGCTGGACGGACTGATTTAGATCCTGGGAGGTGTCGGGCTGTACAGGTGCTTCAGAAGTGTGAGCTTGAAACTACACAAGCAGAAGAAGAAGAAGAAGAAGAAGAAGAAGAAGAAGAAGAAGAAGAGGACCACACCCAGCAGTATCCAGACACAGCCTCCTCATCCCAGACTTTAAATTGTGGTCAGGACGTCTGAGGCCTGTCAGAGCTCTGAGGTGTTGGATCTGCCCGTTTGTGTGTCTGTTTGTGTGTCTGTTGTGTGCGTCGAGGCCACCGAGACCCTCCAGGATGTCTGCAGGACGACACCTGCTGCCTCTGGCCCTGCTGGCCCTTCAAGGTGAGTATATGGGCTGTGGTGGGGTCGCCATGGTGACGGCAACACCTCAGTGTGCACGAGGTGTTTTTGTGTGTGTGTGTGTGTGTGTGTGTGTGTTGCTGTTGTGTTTGCGGTTTCAGATGAAGATGTGTGACTGTGTTGTTGGTTTGTTGTGCTCACTAAAAAGCCCAGCTGTTCAAACTGTGGTTCATACATGTGAGAGGAGATCAGCTTTAAAATGGAGGACACACACACACACACACACACACACACACACACACACACACACACAGAACAGCAGCTGTTGTGTTTCCAAAAGTCAAGAACATCGCACACTCTTCACGCCTCTCGGCCTAAAAGCTGAGTCAGGTTCATGTCCGTAAATAACAACACTGTCCTGTTTCAGCCTTGATACGAGCCGATAGAAAACAGAAATAACAGTAAAATAGTAAAAGTATCATGTAAAGTGTTGGTACGTAACTCAGCAGCTTTCTTTCAGCATGAACAAAATGACCAGAAACAAACATGTAAAACAACTAAAGTGCATCACAAGAGAACCACCAAAAGATGTAAAACAACTCAAATGTGATGCCAAATGACTGCAAAGAGTTGTAAATAACCACAAATGTGATGCGAGATGACCACAAAAAACATGTAAAATTATCAAAAAGTGAGGCAAAACTACCACAAAAACATTTAAAACAACTCAAATTTGACACAAAATGACGACAAAACTACGTCAAACAACCAAAATGAGAAGCAGCATCAGCATGAAACACATTTACTCGTCCTTAATGTGTTTGTGTTGAGTCAGCGTCATTTATTAGGTTGACTCAACTTAATTCCAGAGGTTGGCTCCAACTTAATTTAATCACCTGGTCCAATTATATTTACAGTATTGAATATTTAGTCAGCAAAATGTCATTTTTTATTTGGTTTTTTTTGCACTTTACTTGAAATAACACATTTCACTTTAATTTTAAGATTTGTGTTTCTACAGTCAAAATGTCACATTAACAAAGTTTAGCAGAGTTGGTTTTTGTACGTATTTCAAAGGGTTGAACCAACTTGATTTAACCAGGTTGGTCCAACTAGTTAAACAAAATTAAAAATTACATCCCAAAACTTTTTTTGTTTTTTTTAGATGTCTCAGTCTTAATATTTGCACTTAATTCCTCTTCAACAATGTAGAAAAGCAAATTGGAAAAACTTAATTTCAGTGGTAAATAAATCAGAGAATCAGAGAGTGAAAAAAATCTATTAACTAACATGGTCATTATAAGAAGAAGCCAAAACTGTTAGTAGTATTGTCATCAAAAATCTGGAGATTTATAGATGGTAATTTGTTTTTCTACAAAATTTGGCTGGAAAGTGACACCTTTTTAAACCTGTGTTTCAATGTGTGTTATTTGAAAGATACATTATGTATATTAACGATAGAGAAATAGGAGAAAAAAAATGTAAACTGTTAAATGTTAAAACTGAAAAAGAAAAAAAAAACACCACCAAAACTGTAAATAATGTCTACATTAAAAATCCATATTTTTACAAACAGTGATGATTTGGGCTTTTCCATTGACTGACTGCAAAATGACAACATATTACTGTATTTAAATCTGCTCAAAAACTTTACAGACATTTTTTTTTTATTTCCACAGATGTTAGTAGTTTTCACGTTACAGTATTCCATTGTTTAGATGTTGTTGTTTTTTCTGGCACCTTTACTGGAAGATTGTTAGCATCTTTTTAAGGATGTCTATGTTTTGTGTG